GTGTGGTCGCGTAGTTTTGAGGCGCGTGCGATCTTTTTTTATTGATGTAACGGATCCGGCACTCTTGCCGGGCAACTTTTTGGGTTTCGACTAAATTAGGATTGAGTGATATTTTTCTTTGGTTGGTGCGTTTGATCGTGACGCGCGCGCTCTCGTGTGGAGGTCGGCCTTGTGGTGGTGCGACCTTCGCATAGTAGGAGTGAGTGGTGGAGCGAAAACACGGATCGGGCCTTTGCGCGGTAGATGCGGGAGCTTTGCGGACGTGGGTTCGACCAATGGGAGAAGGGGTGACCTTGGTGTGTTTTGATAAGCCACGCACCGAACGGAACCTGTTTATATGGGTTTGTGCGACTGTTGATATCAGCCTTGGGCCTAACGTTGTGGTTATGGTGTCGAATTTTCATGCAATAGATTTAGGGATCGAGACCATCAGGCGGCGACATGGGGGCGCGGAGCGTCTTGAAGGAAAATCGAGGTGCTGAGGGCTTGGTAAGGCTAACCCGCTCAGTTTTTGTCAACGGTGCCAACCGCAGGTCTGATAAGTGGAACCGAGGAGGTGCCAGAGGTTTCTCCCCTTCCCCTTTTCTCAGTCTCCTATTTTTATTTGTTATTTTATTATTTTCGTTTTTTATTTTTCGGCTGGTTTCCTTGGAACTCGATACTAGTTCCTGTACCGGTTATAGAACCGGTGCCGAAACTAATGGACTAATGGACTAGCTCAGTTGGTACACCTCGAACTGTCGAAATATAGACACGAGCCCGAACTCCGCTAGGAGTGGATGAGTTTTGCAACTTGGGGAATGTGTTAGTTGGCGGAGAGAGGAGACTGCCTTCAACACGCGGAAGATGGGGACGATGATGGTGGAGAGAAGAGTGAGCTTCATGGGGCAGAGGATTCATAACTTGCCCATTTTAGAATGGATGCGAGCGATGTAAAAGTCGACTCAGGGGTCTTGGGGTGCTGCAGGTTGATTGGTAGCATTGGTTTTGATGGGGACGCGTTAGTTTTGGTGCTGAAAACGATAGGAGCTGCGGGGTGGACATTCAAATGAATGGTAGGTGTATCTTCCCATATTCTGGCGCAAGATTCATTCTCATTTTGTAAATTGGAAGGTGGGGGAGCATTCTCTCATCGGTGCAATTGCTGCGGCTCATCTGGTTTGTTCTCGAGAACCCGACTCTGATTCGGCATGACGATTCGAACCTCGACTGAGCTGGCCATTATCTTGATGTTGGCACTGCGTCGTGCCTTGCTATGGTCGAGTTTCGTCTTAATCGTCATGTTCATCTGACAATATTCGTCCTTGTGTGGAGCGGCTAGCCGTCCCCTTCATCACCTTTAAGTTGGTGTTCGGCGTGCGTGTGGTTCCGAATGTACTCGTAGTGTACACGCGACCATAGGGGGCTGCATGTGGCTACTATCTAGTGGAAGATTCACTCTCGTTTTGCACCTTAAAAGAGATGGAGATAGGTCACTGATATTCTTCGCTGTCGTAGTGCGGATCATCGTGTTCATCATTGAGATACTCTTCTGCATAGTGTCGCTCGTTGCAGAAGTTCAGCTAGTGATCATGCTACATGCACGTAGTCATAGTCGCGCTCTCCCTCGAAGCTTCGCCTATCGTGTTCGAGACCCTGGCATTGAGCCTCATCATTGGCATCACAATCAAGGGGGGCGCTCCTTGTAACTGTAATTGCGACCATGGTGCAGTTCATTGCGTGGGGGCTCGTCTAGGGGTGTTGCTAGTATGCTGGTCGTCCTTGATTCTCTACCCGTAACTGTTTGAAAAATGGCCGCTGATTAGATAAATGGCCGCGGATTATCTGCTCTAATCTTATGTTATATCTGACCTGTGGTCCATTCAGACCCCGTCTTCCCAAAGAAAATAAAAAATATGACCGCTGGTTAGAGATATATGGCCGCGGATTATCTGCTCTAATCTTATTTTGTATCTGACCTGTGGTCCATTCAGACCTTGTCTTCACAAAAAAAATAGAAAATGAGCGCGAGCATGAAATTAGGAGAGGGAGAGACCCCAAACTTACTATCCACGTGCCCCTCTCCCCCCCCAAAAGATGAAGTGTAGTATATGCTCCGATCATTTCATATCTGATCCGCTGTTCATCGAGACCTTTCTGAAAAAATAAAAATACAAAAATGCACGCGCATTCGTTCCAAAGCGCGCGCGCGAGAGAGAGAGAGAGAGAGAGAGAGAGAGAGAGAGAGAGAGAGAGAGAGAGAGAGAGAGAGAGAGAGAGAGAGAGAGAGAGAGA